GCCAGGCTGGTCTACAGAGTGAGTTCTAGGACAGCCAGGGACGCCCAGAGAAACTGTCTATCTCGAAAAACCAACCAACCAACAAACAAATAAATAAATAAATTCATTACTACATGTAATGAGTGGACTTTAAAATGGGAAAGATTCTAAAAGAACTTTGAGGTGGGGTTCTTTTTGTTTTGTTTTTTCGAGACAGAGTTTCTCTGTGTGTAGTTTTGGTGCCTGTCCTGGAACTTGCTCTGTAGACCAGACTGACCTCGAACTCACAGAGATCCACCTGGCTCTGCCTCCCGAATGCTGGGATTAAAGGCATGAGCCACCACTGCCTGGCGAGGGGGGGTTCTTTTTTTCTTTTGAGACATAGTCTCATGAAACCCAGAAGCCCAGGCAAGCTTCCAGCTCCCGATGTAGCTGAATTTGGCCTTGAACTCATGATCCTTCTGCTTCTGCTTTCCAGTCCTAGGATTACAAAGATTTGATACCACACCCAGATTTAAAATAACTTTTGATATGAAAAGGAGGTAAAGAGTTACATGGATCTGCAAATGTAGAAGTGATAGAGCTAGAAGACCCCAAATCTAGTTCCTGTGTCCTTTGATGAGTGCTTTAGACAGAGGCTTTGATGGAACTTTTAAGATCTAAAGTTTAGATGTGGAGCTGGAGAGATGGCTCAGCAGTTAAGAACCCTGGCTGCTCTTGCAGAGGACCTGACTTCAATTCCCAGCCCCCACATGGCAGCTCACAACCATCTCTAACTCCAGTTCTAGGTTATCTAAGCTCTCTTCTAGCATGCTTGGTCACTGCATATACATATATGAAGTCAAAAACACCTATAACATAAAAATAAATAAGTAATTTTAAAAAGATTTTTTTTTAAAAAAAAGAAAGTTTAGATGCTAAAGTGCTTTGGAAAAGCTAAAGGTAAACATAAGGCATTGCTAACACAAGCAATTCTCAACTTTGTTTTTTGTTTGTTTTGCTTTGTTTATATGTATGCTTTCTTTTTCAGTAGCTTGGGATCCAACCCAGGACCTTGCACATGCTAGACAAATGTCATGTTTTTCATAGAATTCATTTTCTCCTGTTTCCTTAGAGCAAGATATGTGAATTACATCAAAACATCAGAAGTGGTCAGATTACCCTATCCTCTCCAAATGAAATCTTCAGGTCCACCTTCTTACTTCATTAAGAGGGAATCCTGGGGCTGGACAGACTTTCTGATGAACCCAATGGTATGTGTAGAGCATTGTACTAATCCCTGCTTTGCTTCTAGCAGTTGAAACGTTAAGCTCCTGTGAGAGGGAAGGGTGAGACTGGGAAAGTAGTGTCGTTGGAAACAGACAGTGAAAGGAATAGGAGAATTGTACTGTGTGTTTCATAATAAATGTGCAACTGAAATAAATATGAGGAAGATCCCCGATACCATGAGATATCAGATAGAATGAGAGTATTACTAAGTTGTATATAGAGTTAACCTATCCATTCTACCTATCTGCCCATTGATAAGTGTGCGCTCATTTATTAACCAGCCCATGTTGATGGCACATGTAATGTTTGAGACAGGGTCTCAGGGATCCCAGGCTGGCCTTGAGTTGCTATGTAGCTGAGGATGACAATGAACTTCAGAGTCTCCTGCCCCTACTTCTCAAGTACTAGTATTACAGGGGTACACTACCACCCCTAGTTGTTGTGTGTAGTGCTGGGGAACCAAAGCCAGGGCCTCCCGAGTGCTAAGCAAGCACTCTACCAAACTATGTCGCCAGCCCCTCTAGTAGGGCTTTCTTTCTGCTTTTTAAAATGTGTAATAGACAGAGAAGTTATCTTGGAGTATTTTAAGTAGTTGGTATTAATCCTGAAACAATAGTCTACAATTCATGGTGTGATCTTAATAGTGAAATACTAAAAAATTCTTCAGAAACAAATTGACCTTTGTAAAATCTTTATTATCTTAGGATTCTCTAAATTTGGATTTGATTCCTTAGTGATAACTGTTTAGATCATAAACAGTACTGTTTGGGGGCTGTACATCTAGTGAAGGGTAAATTAGTACCAGGGGTTTATCCCCAGAGATAAAAGGGCAGGAGAGCAGCTGGGAAGAGAAACATCAGCACGAGACTGCACCATTTTCATCTTTGCTGTTCTCATTTCTGAAAGTGCACAGAAGTGGGTCGAGTGCTGGAGGATTCTCAGCCATCTTCAGAATGAATGTCTCAAATAGCTGGCTTCCACTAGGCTGCAGGCTCTAGGGGATGTAACTAATAAGAGCAGTAACACAGTGCTCAGGGAGCAGCACAGCTGTCTGTAAGGAGCAGCCCCTCTGGCCATTGGAATCACCAGTGGCAGCTTGCACTGGGAGAGAAAGAAGAGCAGACAGTTCCACTTGGAAATGATTTGTGTTAAACCTAAAGTCTTTACAAAGATAAGAGGAGGCCTGTAGGAGAAGTTTGGTGTCAGTAAAGCCCAGGCATACATGAGCAAAACTATTGCAGTCTCAGATGCCCCGCAGCAGTCACACAGCACCCCACCACCCAAGCTGCTCAGTACTCTTGAGGCAATTTTGATACATTCTGTTCTATATACTCACTTGGATCTTGTCACTGGTTATTAAACAGGTCTTGTTTCACAAGCTAAAGTGGAAGAAAAGGTTTCTGATTTTTTTCTTTTTTTAATATTCTGCAGGTTATGATGATGGTTCTTCCATTATTGATATTTGTGCTTCTGCCTAAAGTGGTCAACACAAGTGATCCTGACATGAGACGGGTAAGCTGACTGCCCAGCTATGGACTTGTGAGGCATGCTGTGTCTTTTTTTAAATAGCACTTTGAAATTAATTGTGTATATGTATACTCGTGTAGGGTGTGTGTGTGCATACACACTCGTGCACTCCATGGGCACTGGAGAGTAAACCCATGGCCTTGTGCATTCTCCAAGTGCTCTACCACTGACACGGAGCAGCATTCCTAGTGCCTGTTTTTAAATCTAGTTTGAGGTAGACTCTCAGTAAGTTACCCAGGCTGGCCTTGAACTGTCAGTCCTTCTGCCTCAGCTTCCCATGCTGTCATCTGGGCCTGTTCTGGTGCTTGTTGTTCACTGCAGCTGTGTAGCTTGAGGATTGTCAGCTTGTCCTAGTTCCCATGGCACGTTCTTGTAAGAGTTTGTATAATGCAGTATTTGTTTCCCTGTGTTCCGCTAGCTGTTTCCATTGGGTAAGATAAACTGGGTTGGTTGTCTTCGAGAATGCTAGTGTCTTTTCATAGAGTTAAAGCATTGTGCTGATCTCAGTCTTTTTTGTGTGCCTTGCTTGTTACACAGTTGAATGCATAATAACCTTGATATGCCTAATCCAGATATTCTGATCTTTTAATCTACTTTTGCTTAGTAACACTCTCTTGAGAGTACGCACTCATTTATGTGTTCACACATACAAGTGATGCAGGTAGAGCCAGAGGGGATGCCTCTCATACCTGGTGCTTTTTCTTCCTGCAGGAGATGGAGCAGTCAATGAACATGTTGAATTCCAACCATGAATTGCCTGATGTCTCAGAGTTCATGACAAGACTCTTCTCTTCAAAATCCTCTGGCAAATCCAGTAGTGGCAGCAGTAAAACAGGCAAAAGTGGGGCTGGCAAAAGGAGGTAGTCAGGCCACAGCCGCCATCGCACAAGCTCGGCTACACCAGTGCATCCAAGTCTTGATGGGAACCGTGTGAAGCGACTACTGTAAACTGAGTCATCTGAAAGTTGATCTCGTACAACTGTTGTCTATGTTGATTTCTTAACACATGTTTTGTACTTGGTACACAAGAAAACCCAGCTCTCATCCTTTGTCTGTATGAGGTCAATGTTAATGTCACTGAATTAATTACAGTGTCCTATAGAAAATGACATTAATAAATTATATGAAGTACTATACATTATGTATATTAAAGAGGTCTTAATCCAGAGATAAAATTATCTTCTGTCATTCTTTACTACTTTCCTTTTTCTGGGCAGTTTTAACCTTTCCTTATCTGAGCTCTGCTTTTAAAAAGAAGTGCTTGGTCCTTTTAAGAGCACATGCACTGTTTTTTATGTATGGGGCCATAGGTTTCAAAATTTCCACCCTAAGACAGGTCTGGTGGCTAACACTTGGAATCCTAGCACTGAAATGGCTGATACAGGAGGATGGCCTTGAGATTGAGGCCAGCCTGGGCTACAGAGTAAGACTTTTTCAAAAGTAAAAATCCCAAAACCTACACTCACAGTGAACATTCCCTGATTGTGAAGTGGCATGCATATTCCTGATGCAGTTATCATTTTATTATTTAGAGTGTGGACATGTGGGTCAGTATAGAGCCTACCACTAAGTTCTAGTTTCATCCCTGTGTTCATTTCATAGTTAGTTATCTATCAGCTGTGTGCTGTAGTCTGTAGTAGAATACAGAGATGGATAATATCCCAGCACCTATCTCAGGGAGACAGATCCTAACAAAGAGTGACCAGGGGAAAGCAGCCAAGCCAGAAGCAACGCCTCCCGGCCCAAGGATGGAAAACCAACCTCAGTGTCATAGGGAATAGCTCTTCTTTACAGTCTTAGAGTTCTTTTTAGAGTGTTAAAGCAGGACAACAGCACAGTGTTTTAGTTTGGAGATCTAAATTGACTTCAGTAAGTCACAAAAGTTTTTACAACTTTTCCTTATGGGTTAATTAAAGAGAAGCTCTTAAGACACAGTATTGGACAAGTAGAGTGCTTCCCTTCTCTCTTGGGATAAAGGAATCTGTATTGCTTTTTTAACATTCATCAGAAAACACACAAAAGGGTTGGTTCCAAACTCTTGCTTTTTTGTTTTTGAGTCAAAGTCCTATTTTGAACCCCAGTCTAACCTGGAACTCATGTAGCCCAGGCTTGCCTCAAATATGTGATAATCCTGCCTCAGGCTTCCAAATTCTGGGATTCCAAACATGTGCCATTATGAATGCTTAAGGAAGAGGCTAAGTCCTAATTAAGTGGGGACCTGCCTTGGTAGCTAGAGTACAGTTTAGGAAAAAGTGCCATGCCAGGTAAGGTTGAAAGACTATAGAGATTAAGCAGATTGAAGCTGAGAAGGGACGAGCATGGGTAACTCCTGAGTTGAGGTGTGTGTGTGAGTGTGTGTGTGTGTGTGTGTGTGTGTGTGTGTGTGTGTGTGCGTGCGCGTAGTAGAGAGTGGGGTGATTTATGGAGGAACTGAACAAAGATAGCTAAAAGAAAGTGCTCCCAGAACTAACTGTAAAGATTGCTGCCTGGATGCACTGCAAGCCTGAAATTACTTTGTCTTCTGGAGGGTACCTTGTCTTTGTAGCAAAATCATAAAGGAGTACCTTGGGTTGGACCTGGTAGTGTGGGTCAGTAATCTAGCTACTAAGCTACTAAGGAGGCTGATCACAAGTTCAAGGCCTTCCTAGGCTACACTGAGGATCACAGTGAGGGCATGACTAGGTTGGACATCTTAAAAAGGCTGGGGATGTAGTTCAGTGGTGGGATGCTTGCCTAGCATGTGAGAGGTCCTAGATTCAAACCCCAATACTGGAGGGAAGGAGAATGACTGAGTCAGCATGTATATCAAGCTCTGGCATGCTTGAGGAAGAAGTGGAACTGAACACAGACTGAGGTCAGGCCAACCTGTGTTTGAAACAGTGGCTGAAGCTAATCACGATGAGTAACAAGGCAGGGTGGGGCTGACGCTCAGTGGTAGGGCACATCCCTAGCATGTGCCAGGCCATAGTCTCAGGCTCCAGTGCCCAAAAAGAAAAGAAGAACTGCAAGATAATGTTAGTTGGAAGAACATAGGCCTCCCCTTCCTGCTTGTCTTACTCCTCACCCACCTCTGGCTCACACTCGAAGCTAACCAGATCAGACCCTGCGTAGCTTCTGAGATCAAATGAAGTCAGGAGCTTTCAGGGTGGTATAGCTATAGGCCCAGCTCCAAATCTTGGATGAGGTCCAGCAGGGGCCAGTAGCATAGAGACAGCTTTCCTCTGTCTGCATCCTCTTTGGAACTGGTGGGAAAGAACATACGTGCCCTTGTGCAAGGCCTCCTGGAAGTTCCTGGTTCCTGGCAGATGGTTAGCCCTACTACCCTGGCACAGCTGCTCCCCGACCTTGACACGCTTTTCTGTTCTCATTGCTTCAACTTACATGCCTATAAAGGCATATGTGACTATGCACTTGCTTTTGAGGGTATGTTGGCTAAATTCTGCAGACAGCTCTTCATCTCTGTAATGCTACCTGGCTTCGGTGAGGAGTTGTGTGGTGTCTCTGCAGACACCAGGGCCAGCAAAGTGTCAATCCTCGTGAGACAAGAAAGAAATCTGGTTCAACACAACTCAGTAGCCGGAGTTGGTACAAACTTCTAGAGTCTGACACCAGGCAGTTTATCTTAGACATATTTAAGTACAGTACAACTTAAAAGTTTCCTAGCATAACAATCCTATGTGCACCAGAAGCCATAATTATACCGAAACTCATCTCAAAGTACATGTTACTTTGTCCATGAAAATTGATTCTAGAGACAGGCTACATGTGTTCTCTTAAAGACTTAGGGCAGGATCTGGTGTGTTATCAGTCACACAGATAGCACAAATTAGCCATGTCTGGTCCTAGTTGTGGGAGCTTGGAGGAACCCCTGGCCATACAGATAAGGCAAAGGTCATCTAGACTATTAGCTACATCAGGCCCTGCTTAGGGGAGCCAGATCTAGCCTGGACCTATAGATAACACAGGTTACCTAGGCTATTGGCCACCTCTATCCCAGCCTTTGGGGCAGAAAACAGATTATACAGCTTTTCCCTTGAAAAAACAACCTTATGTATTTAACATTCCTGGTTTCCTTAGTGCTATCTGTGAGCGGAAGGGCCTTTGTGCTCCCAACAGAATCTGGTTATCAAATAGACAGACCAGGTATATTTAAAAAATAGCAGTCTTTCAACACGTCTTAACATGTAGCATGTGAACGAGGAACCAAATGTGGGGAAAGAAAAGACTGCTCTCAGGCTGGGGAAGGAGCTCAGTTGGTAGAGCGCTTGTGTGGCAAGCACAACACACTGTCTGGGTTCAATCCTTGGCACCACATAAAATGAGTGTGGTGATGAGCACAAGGAATTCAACCAGTGGGGGAGGGGCAGGAGGATCAGATGTTCAAAGTCATCCTCAGCTACACAGAGAGTTCGAGGCTACTCTGAGCTAGTTCTTGGTTGTATTTGTCAGGCTGTGAATGAGAACTTGGTGAATATTGCAGTCCACATGCATCTCGTCACTGTCCGCTCACCCTTTCTTCCAGCCTTTGCATACAGGCCCGGACTCTGTTGATTGTTTTCTTTCTGTGCCTAAGAAGAGCAGAAAAGAAGCTTCGAGAAGGGAAATGTTTGTATTTGGGGAGGAGCAGAGCACCCAGCTGCCACTGGAGTGATGATTTTCTTTGTATTTTTCCTTGTTCCGTTCATCATTCTGTTTGTCTACATCCATGAAGGGTGGGCAACAGTATCCATTCCCTTCTGCACCCCCAAGCTCACTGCATAGATGGATAATTATTTGTTAAACATAGGATAATCAGGTTGCCTGGATGAGGACTCTTGGATCTAAAAGCGTGGTGAGAGAAATGTGAATTCTCCAGGACAGTGTTCTTCTTATCCTCTAAGCTGTGCTACTGCATATAACAGAGATAGAAACTGACAGGTGCAGCCTCTTTCTGATCTATATTTAGTTAGGAGTGGGAGCTTTCTGTGTCACTTGAAGCCTTATGATTTCTTCTTTGAAGAGTCTAAGTGGCCAGATGCTTTCTGTTCAAGGACGGCCAAATGGTACTTACTAGCACTGTGAGTTCAAATGAAACGTGTTTATAGACGCTGGTGCGGGTGCAGGGGAAACCAAACTTTATACACCACTAATGGGAGTGTAAATTAATTCAGGCATTGTGCAAGTCAATGTGGGTGTTCCTCAAGGGACAAAAAATAAAACCAGCATACGAGTCAGCTCCTTCTATGCACATAACTGAAGGGGTCAAAGCACACACACTGGGGATACCAGCACCTCGAGGTTTATTGCAGCACTCGGCATGTAGCCAAGTGTTAGAAGCAGTCGATGTGTCTATCAGTGGATGAACGGATAAAGAAAATGTACTATCTATTCACAATGGCATTGAATCAGCCAGGAAGACGAACAAAACCGTGTGGCAGGCGGGAGAATGGATCAAACTAGGGATTATCGTGTTAAGCAAAAATATGCCAGAAGCAGAAAAACCAAACGCTCGTGTCTTCTCTCGTGTACAGAATCTAATACTAAAATAAAAAGATAGTGAAGGTAGAGGGACTATTTGACAGGTGAAAGGGCACCAAAAGGAGGGGGACAAGAGAGGCTACTGGAGTGGGCATGATTAAAGTATATTATATGCTTCTATAAAAATATCACAATACATTGTTTTATACAGTTAAAATATGATAATAAATGTAAGGTGTGTCTCTGTACACAATGAGATTTCAAGGGTAGATGCTAAGATATTTTGCAGCCATCTCCAGCTGGCAGAATTCCTGGTAATTTTTCATTTGTTGGTTTTCTAAGACAATATGTATTGCTATATTGACTATTGTCTTATAAAGTATAGTGAATATAAAACAAAACAATATAATTTTGTGTATGTGTGTTCATGCACGTGTGTGTGTGCATGTTCAGGCCAGAGATTGACATAGACCTTCTTTCTCAATCGCTCTCACCTTGTTTTTTGTTTGTTTGTTTGTTTGTTTTTTCACCTTGTTTTTTGAGACAGGGGTTCTCACTGTGTTTGGAGCTTGCCAGTTTGGCTAGACTGACTGGCCAATGAGTCCTGGGAATGCTCTTGTTTTCCTCTCCCCAGACATGGGGTTATAGGTGCACACTGACTTTTAAGCAGATGCCGGGATCTAAATTTAGGTTCTCAGAACTTCACCAACCGCACCTTGCCTGGTCCTCTAGGTTGTTTATGTTTGTTTGTTTCCAATGAGTGTTTTGCCTGCATGCATGTTTGTGCACCGCTTGTGTGCCTAGCACCTGAAGAAACCAGAAGAGAGCATTAGATCTCCTGGAACTGGATTTATAGATAGTTGTAAGCCACCCTGTGGGTGCTAGGAATTGAACCTGGATCCTCTGGAAGAGCAGCTAGTGCTCTTAATGGCTAAGACATCTCTCCAGCCATCTAGTATCAGGTGTTTTTTTTTTCTTTTTTTCTTTTTTTTTTCTTTTTTTTTGAGGTAAAGAATTCACCTTTTCTTAGTCTCCCCAATAGACCCTACCTCCTGGGTGTCAAAGGTCCCATCTGAGGACTGTCCATCCATAGAATACTGGATTTCTAGGGAAGAAAGTTGTACTCAAAATACCAGAGGAAGTCTGATCTGTCTTTCCTGCTGCTGTTTTTCAGCAAGTGGTGTTTTCTACAGCAATCTACTAAACTGCTGAGTTGGGAATCTGGCCTATTGTTAGCATATCATCATCAATAGCTTTGTGGATTTTGACCAAAGGTAGCTTTTTCCATCTTTGGATACATGAGGACTGCTAAATATAAGTACCAATCCCCATCTTGTGATATCTGGAATAAGTGAATGTATTTGCATCATTCTGTGTAAGAGATAAAGATGCCTTTTCCTTCTATTAGGATGTCAATGCAGATGCATTTATACAAGATGATCATGCTCCTAAAAGCACAGTCAAGGACTGGGAAAATGACACTCTTGGGACAGCTGTTCTTAGGAGGAACATAAAAACATCCTTGTGGGTGTCTAGTAGTTTGAGACTTGTTTAGGATCCATATAAAAAAGGCATTAGGATTTTTTGGCAGATAGATAGCCATGAAGCATACTGATATTAAGTAAGTATAGATGATTGTCGGACACAAAGAGCAAAATCCAGGCTCATTTTGCTTTGGCTTTCTTTGCCTAATTTTTGAGCACTGATGAATTTAAGGTTGTATTCCTAACCCCCACACATTAACTCATGAATTACTAAGTGAGATGAGTGCAGTTGCTTGGAGGACAATAATGACTGTGACCTCTCTGAGTTTAACATGAACATATCAGTTGGTCTTTTGTCTGTTATCAATTACTCTTTCTTTCTTTTGTTTTTGTTTTTGTTTTTTGAGACAGGGTTTCTCTGTGTTGCTTTGCGCCTTTCCTGGAACTCACTCTGTAGCCCAGACTGGCCTCGAACTCACAGAGATCTGCCTGGCTCTGCCTCCCAGTGCTGGGATTAAAGGCGTGTACCACCACCACCACCACCACCACCACCAGGCTCAATTACTGTCTCTATAGTAACTTGTGGTGGTTTGAAAGAAAATGGCCCCCAAAGGGAGTGCCACTATTAGGAGGTGTGGCCTTATTGGTGTAGGTGCAGTCTTGTTGGTGGAAGTGTGTTACTGTGGGGGGCAGGCTTTGAGATCTCTTGTCTCAAGCTTCCCTCAGTGTGACAGTCAGTTGACTTCCTGTTGCCTCTGAGTCAAGATATAGGACCCTCAGCTCGAGCACCATATCTGCCTGTATGCTATCATGTTCCCCATCCAAATGATAATGGACTGAACCTCTGAAACTATAAGCCACCTCAATTAAATGTTTTTATTTGTAAGAGTTGCCATGATCATGGTGTCTCTTCACAGCAATAAAAAACCCTAACTAATCACCAGGTGGTGGTGGTACATGCCTTTAATCTCAGCACTCAGGAGGCAGAGGCAGGGGGATCTCTGTGAATTCGAGGTCAGCCTGGTCTACAGAGAGAGTTCCAGGGCAGGTAGAGCTACACAGAGAAACCCTGTTTTGAAAAAAAAAAAAACAAAAACAAACAACAACAACAAAAAACCCAAAAAACCAAAATATAAAAAGACATAACTCATGGGGTTGGAGATTTAGCTCATTGGTAGAGAGCTTGCTTGCCTAGCAAGTGCAAGGCGCTGGGTTCAGTCCTCAGCTGGAGGTGGGGGGACGACACATAACTCAACTTGTTCTAATGGATGTCTTCATAACTTTCAGTAATAGTAGCTGCTACAGGAGGGGACATATGTGTCTTCTTCTCTAGAACCCATATGTTTAGCTTTATGGAGAACTCTAGAACCTAGTACCCAACAAAGAATTGCTTTATAGAAACACTCATGTCCACACAGCTCTTGTAAATTGAGGGCCCTAGGGAATGGGTATTTGGGAAGTAATCACTATGGAAAAGTCAGAACTTTATTTTTCACAGAAAGAGAAAAGTGGTAGATACTTTCTTAAAACATCAAAATTATGCAGGATTTTTAAAAATGAATGCAAACACTGAAAAAATGGCTATAAGAATTTTTAAAAGCCTTTTACATTTATTTACTTTGTTTGTGTGCCATCAGAGGATAGTTTGCAGGAACTGGTTCTCTCCTTCCACACGGGTCCCAGGGATCAAACTCAGGTTTGGAAGCAAGCAACTGTATCTGTTGAGCCATCTCCTGGCCTTTGTTGTTTGTTTTGTTAACAAAACAAAGGGAAAAAAAACCAGAGATTATTATCTCCACAATGATGGAATGGGATAAAAGAAAGAGAGGACAGAGGGACACTTCTCGGAGTAAACCTGTTTGTAGTTTTGACTTTTACAAACATTAATATTTTACTTATTAAAAAGAAATTCAATTGGGATGGGGAGCGGCTAATGCCTAAAGTCCCAGCCCTCAAGAAGCTAAGACGAGAATCATGAGTACCAAAACAGCCAGACTCTGTCTCAACAGAAGGGGAACGAATGTGCAAGACGATCATGGACTGAATCTGCAGGTAACAGAAGACTGCTGGCGTAGCATGCAGAAGGCCTGAAAATGCACACACAATGAGAGGCGAAGAAAAACTGAGACCCTCCTCCAGATTAAAGGGTTCTAAACAGGCCGTGGCAGGCTATAGCAGAGTGTTCTGTTTGGTCCTGGATTAGATCCTGAACTGGAAAAGAAATTCATATAATGGACAGCATTTGTACACATGGTGAAACTTGAGTAGTCTATAGACCAGAGAACAACATTGTAGCAACATCAATTTTCTTGATTTCTGTTATTTGTGCAGAGGTTACATAAAGTAATCTTGTTCTTGAGAAACACACACTGAGACATGCCAAGGCGAATAGACACATGGAGACAGCCTACTCTAAGACAGTTGAGAAAAAAAAATCATGCGCCAGCACACACAGCACACTGAGAAAAAAAAAATCATGCGCCAGCACACACAGCACACTGAGAAAAAAAAAATCATGCGCCAGCACACACAGCACACTGAGAGGGTGCGTGCTAACAGGACAACATTGTAATGGGTTTATAAAATAGATGAAGAGTAAAGAGTTGTTTGTAGTATTTCTTCAGCTTTTAGATAAGCTCAAAATTCAAAAGAATTTCTTCTTTTTAAAATGTGCTTCTGGCTCCTTTCCGACACATTTATCCACTCCCTGTCTAGACTTCCTTAGATTAGTGAAGAGCTTGCGTAATCTTGAACTTTACTGATGAGATGGCATGGAGGAGATGAAAATTACAATCACAAATTGGTAATGAAATGCGAGGGGAGAAAGTGAGACTGTTCCCTTTGGCACAGGGCCTCTGTCCGAGAAGAGCTGGGCTTCCAGGTCTGTCCCCCACCCTTGCCCTACAGGAGAAAGGAAGAATTTTAGCCACAGACTTTTTTTTTTTTATCATCATTGTTTAATCTTAATTTGATCATTGGTAGCTGGAATGGCAAATCACAGAAAGTAGCAACAAGGACGTGTATTCCATATTGTGAACCCTATCTTCAAAGGGAAGGCCATGCAGAGCTGAGGAAGACCCTGGTACAGATTGGGTCCGTCATGCTAACCAGAGAACATTCTCCAGTTTTAACACTTTTCATGGAATCACTATGTGGTTAAATTTCTTTAATGTCCAGAACAACATGAGTACAATATGCTTTGCTGTGATTCCGGTATTGATAGTAGACAGCTGTAAGCCCCCACCCAGGGGTGTAGGTACAGATTTCACAGTCACAAAGAACCGGCAGCGTCATCCTCAGAGGACACTCACCAGAGGAGCAAAGGAGGAAGGCTGACAACATGCTTTGTTTAACCAAAACATGAACGGAAAACCGGGACGGGTCACCAAATTCACAGCCCAAAAGAGAAACAAATCACATTATTAGCAACATATATCATCCTATAGATAGCCAGTTAAAGCTGAACGTAGTTCCTCACAGACAGAACTCAGGATTCTAGGATCAGGTCAGCTCATACTCCACGCACTTACCCCATACCTGTAGTTTACAATAGAATCTTTGCATTCTGAAGGCCCCACTCAAGGTCCTGACTCTAGGACACTTTGGTTTCCTCTAACGGTTTGAGGGTATGCTTTGTCTATGTTAATGGGCATGAGTAGCCCTGTAAACCTGGCTACTTTTCAAAGTCAATAAGAATCAGTTTCACAAAAGATAAGTTAAAAAGGCTAATTCTGTGTGACCATGGAGCAATACTCTCGCCACTCCAGTTCTGGGTCCCTTTGCTTTAACTGGGTTATCCCTCTATTGTGAGTGATGAATACCCAATACAGGATTAAAATGCCATTTTCATAGAAAGATTTCCAATTCTGCCAGCAGCCAAGGCCTTAAAGGAAAAGAACCAAGTACGTCTAGAGCTGGTAGAGCAGGTTTTTTAATAAAGTCACACCCTCCTGGTATCACATAGGCCTGGGAACTTCTGTCTCAGAGATTTGAGCCAATTAGTATTTTCTACTAAATTCTTGGCAGGTGTCAACCTGCCCTTCACAAAGGCTCCACGACTACGGCACACCAAACATGCTCCATCTCAACATCAGGTCTCTGCAGGGCTAGAATAGAGGCCTGGGTGGATTAGCCGTGTCCTGCCCAAGAGTTCTCCATCCCAAAGGCTCCTTGGCATGTAACTCTGTTCTTCCAGGGTTGGAGGGAGAACTCAGGTACACATCTAATTCCCAAGAAACCAGGCTAATTCCTTCTCCTCCTCTTCTTTTTCTTCTTTCCATCCTCTTAAAAAAAAATGAGGTTAAAAGAGAGCTGGCTTCTACTGAGTGAAATGAAATCCAGATTTTTTTTTTCTTTTTGAAATAGGATCTTGCTATAGACAAAGCTGCCTCCACTGCCCACGTGCTGGGATTACAGGTATGTTTCCTGTAGAGAATTTCTTTAACACAGTGTCAAATGATAGCAATTTGACTAGAAAAGTTCCTGACAGGACTTTCCACCTGCCAGCTCTCCATGTAGCACTGCACTGCTTTTATTCTTTCATTAATTTAACTTATTTCACACCTTTAATTTCTTGTGCATGTGTTTATTTTTGAAATCATCAAAGAAGCATCTTAGGTTCAGTTTTTCCCCCTCCTGGTTCTAAAGCTCAAGCCCAGGGCTGGGAACATGCTGGGCAAGCACTCTCTACTGAGCATCACTCCACTTCTAGTTTCTTTATATAAAAATACTTCAGTTAGGATCTCTGTGAGTTCAAGGCCAGCCTGATCTACAAAGTGAGATCCAGGACAGGCACCAAAACTACACAGAGAAACCCTGTCTCAGAAAAACAAAAACAAAAACAAAAACAAAAAATACTTCAGTTAAATAGTTCAGTTAAACTCTGTTTTTAAATAATTCCAGTGGACATAATGCATGTTAATACTTTTTTGTTTTTATGTCACTATACCTTACACTTAGTTTTTTGTTTTGTTTTTGAGACAGGGTTTCTCCATGTAGTTTTGGTGCCTGTCCTGGATCTCGCTCTATAGCCCAGGCTGGCCTCAAACTCACAGAGATCTGCCTGGTTCTGCCTCCCGAATGCTGGGATTAAAGGCGTGCGCCAACGCTGCCCAGCTTTTACTCTTAATTTTTAAGAGGAAACTTACATTTAAACAATGTTTGCTTTGGTGCTGAGGGTTGAATCCAGTGCTTCGTGCATGTATCACTGGGCTCCTCCTAGCCAAAGTGTTCATGTTTAAGGGCATAACCAGCTGCACTCAACCCTCAACTCTGCATTTCTGAGCTTCTCACTTCTGGGTCCCTTGGGACAGACTGAGCAAGGAAGTCATTTCTTTCAAATATGAAAGACTGATAAGAAAGAAGGAGGAAAGAAAGAAAGAAAGAGAGTAAGAAAGAAAGAAAAAGAGAGAGAGGGAGGGAGGGAGGAAGGAAGGAAGGAAGGAAGGAAGGAAGGAAGGAAGGAAGGAAGGAAGGAAGGAAGGAAGAACACTCCCCTCCTTTTGCCCAAGCAGCACTTCTTTCCCTACACAAGACAGTGATCTGCGCGTGTCTGGGTCTGGATGAGGAGGATTGGGAACTTCAAAGACTCTTAAGGAAAATTGAAAGCATGGTAGGAATCATATTTGTTTTTACACGTTTTGTGTCTGATTTGTCCTGAGAGGAGATTAGAAAGCAGTTCTCCTAAAAACAACATAAAAGACCCAGCATTCAATATCCTGGAGAGAATCCTTACTAGATAGGGCTGTTATACAATCAGTTTCTGCTGAGAACACAGCATACTTCATAAATGATTCCAAATGGGCACCAAAAATGAGACACATTATTTGTTTAGAGAAAGAGTTACCTCATTGGTAAAACATGAAAATAACTGTCTGGAAACTTGATCATCATTAGTAGCAGAACAGAAGCCCCTCTAGGAAACCAAGCATGCAAGTGTGCCAACGTCAGCACTTTTCTTGACTCAGGGTTCTGAGAGACGGATGGTCTGTGGGAATCACCATGGTTTCACTGGGCATGGGAGTTGTCACAGTTAGGAAAGGGAGAGTAAGAACATCATTTGGCATATGAACAGAAAAACATGCCACAGTACAAAGCACATGATAGCTGCATAATAAATGCTGATTAAATTACGAAGGGTGATATTCTTAGAAGCCAGTTGAATACCACGCTTATCCAGAGGTGACAGGGGCTTACATTCTCCTTGATTTTCACTGGTCTAACACAGTTTCATATAGACACATACATATTGCACAATGCTCTATGACAGAATGCCCCAGGGGAAGATTTCCAGTCTGGCCCCAACTGTTCTTCACAGAACAGTTCCCAAAGTCATTGTCCGCAATGACTCAAGTGTATTTCCAGAGAAGGACCCTGAGTCTGTCTTTCTGATTCACCAGCAAATGCTAGTGGCACCAGGTGGCCTTGGTAATAGATAAGACTCACTTCACATGGCAGCAGTGGCTGTGTGTGTGACGCTTCGTTTTGACAACAGACCTTGAGCCTGGACAAGTCTTTGGGGGCTCGGAATGGCAGATGATGTTCTTCAAAACAAGCAAACCAGACTGTGGCCATTATTCTTTCCAGGGAAGTTACTGACTTTTCAGGGTAGCTTGCTGTTCCCTTGCCAATACAATTTCTCTTCCACTCTTTTCTTTTTCCACTGGCAGAGAAGCAGCATCTTAAAGGTCTTCCTGAAGGTTCTGTTGCAGAGAGCATAGCAGATGGGGTTGATAGTGCTGTTGACATAGCACAACCAGTAACCCAAGTGCCACAGGGTGACAGGGACACACTTGTCACAGAAGGTGGAAACCAGGACCATGATGTTGTAAGGGGTCCATGTGATGATGAAGGCCAAGAGAATGGCACTCAAGGTCTGGGCCGCTTTTCTCTCTTTGATTAGGACCATTCTCTTTCGCTTGGTCATTTGATGGCTGAGGCTGGGGTCCAGGCCTCTTGTTGAAGGGTCCTTGGACACCGGGAAGGTACAGGGCATGATTTTCACCTTGCGACAGCCATTGTTAGTCTCCTGGGTCCCGTCAGCTTTTACCACCAATTGGAACTTATAGGCAACACACTTCTGACTCTTGAGTCTGTGAGCAGCAGCCGGAGACAGGAAGTATTTGGGAGTGTCATAGTCACTGTTTTCAGTCTGAGCGGTCACGAAAGTTTCCTTCGTCTCTTCGGTGTTGAATTCCTTCCTCGGGCTTTCCTTAGCCTGATTCTTGTAGACCACTTGAAAGACAGGGTCAGTGGTGGGCTTGGCCTCATCCTCTGAGGAGGGGTAGCTGCTACAGGTAGTGACTTGCTCAGTCTTGTCCCAGTCAACACTTAGGCCAGTGGCCTGGTCTGGCTTTCCTGTTGTTGAGGTTCTTCTGCGGGAAGATGACCAGGAGGCCTGATCCCTTTCCCTCTGGGCCAGGCTGGGTCTAGGGCAGCTAAAGAAAGATCTGAGCAGGGTCCTGTGAGCCGGCTTTCTCTTCTTGGCTTCTACCACAGAATCAGAACCCTGGAGGTCAGCCAGGTCCTTGGTTCGCTTCTCTGTTTCACGGTAGATCCGGCAGTAGAGTATGGTCATGACAGAAACAGGGATGTAGAAGGCGGCGATGGCTGTGCCGAAAGTAATGGTGGGCTCGGAGAGGAATTGGATCTGGCACTCATCAGGTGGTACTGTCCGCTTCCCAACCAAGTACTGCCAGCAAAGAATTGCTGGTGCCCAGAGGATGAAGGAGATCAGCCAGGCCAAGCCAATCATGATGCCAGCCCGCTTTGGGGTACGCTTGGCCCGGTATGTCAGTGGTCTTGTGATGGAAAAGTAACGGTCAAAGCTAATCACCAGAAGGTTCATGACCGAAGCGTTGCTGGCAACATAGTCTAACGCAAGCCAAAGGTCACAAGCCAGACTCCCGAGGACCCAGCGTCCCATGAGGATGTAGGTCGTGTAGAGGTTCATGGAGAAGATTCCAATGATGAGGTCTGCACAGGCCAAGCTGAGCAGGTAATAGTTGTTAACTGTCTTGAGCTGACTGTTGACTTTGAAGGAGATCATGACCAAGACATTGCCCACAATGGTCATCAGGCTGACCACAGCTGTCACACTTGCAATAGTGATGACTTCCCATAGCCCATGGCGTTCCAAAGCCTGGTGATCTACTGGGGTGTCGTTGACTGTGGTTTCATTGTGGTAAGATTCCCCCTCCATCCTGGTTCAAGAAGTTACATTGGGATTTAGTCTGAGGTTTGGAGCTGCTCTCTGTCCTGCTTCCTCTCTTCTCCGCCAGTACCTGGAAGAGATATCAACAGGTCAGCTCCACTCATCACATTTCTGCATGATTTTCTTTTCCCTTCGGGATTCATCATTGTGAACAGAATATGAGTTATATGCAGAGCAAGAGGCTGGATTGTTGAACCTTTTTTGTTTTTCTTAGAAAATGACTTAATTGGCTGGGCGGTGGTGTCGCACGCCTTTAATCCCAGCACTCGGGAGGCAGAGCCAGGCGGACCTCTGTGAGTTAGAGGCCAGCCTGGACTACCAAGTGAGTCCCAGGAAAAAAAAAAAAAAAAAAAAAAAAAGAAAGAAAGAAAATGACTTAATTTATTATCAAACTATTGTTACTATTGAGAGTGTTGAAATAGTTAAGTATAAGGTAAAAGGCAAAATAAATTTTGGACAACTATATATGTATGTATGTATGTATGTATGTGTGTGTGTATGTACACATCATTGCAATGGATAACAATATAGTAATAGATGTATATGTTTTTATCATTGCAAAATTCTTGTACCTAATGAACAAGTATTGGGTTTTAGTTATAAAAATTTGCAATTGATATTTTTCAATGAAAAATTCTCTGGCATTTTCATACATGTAAAAAAATGTTTGGTCATCTTCATGCCCCAATGCCCTCCTTCACTCCTCTTCTCCTACTGAAATTATTCTTCTTCCACAGAAATCTCTAGACTTTCAGTAACATTTTTATCAGGGCATGATACATTCTTTTAAAAATGTATTAGTTCTTTGAGAATTTCATATGATGTGTTTTGATCATATTCACTCCCTTCCACAACCCCTTCTGGATATATTCCTCCTCCCTACCCACCCAACTTTGTGTCCTCTTATTTTTCTAGTGTATTATTGTTTGTATTTTAATGAGCCTCACTGCCTGAGTATCATGCATTTGTGTGAAACTGCTGCCCTCTTGTGGCAATTTTTTTCAAGAGGGGTTGAGAAGAGGAAGGAAGGAGAAAGAAAAGGATAGAATTGCTTAAAAGGCTGGGAGACAGGGAGGGTGGAGAGTCGGGGTGAGGGATGGTAGGGTGGGGATGAAGGGTGGGGCTTGGGGTAGGGTTGGGGGGATAGGGTAGAGGTGGGGTGTGGGTTTGATAGGCTTCAATGCAGAGGACAGAAACCTGAAATGAACTTTGGAGGTAGTGCCCAGAGGCGGCAGGCTTAAAACACGCCTGCCCACAAAGGGTTAAAAGTCAGGGAGAACAATTGAAGGAATGTGTGAAGAAACAAAGTTTTGACATGTCTTTTTTTAAAAAAGACGGCTCTTTTAAAGTAACACACATCTAACTTTGTTGTTGTTGTTGAGACAGGGTTTCTCTGTGTAGTTTTGGTGCCTGTTCTGGATCTTGCTCTGCAGACCTGGCTGACCTCGAACTCACAAAGATCCACCTGGCTCTGCCTCCTGAGTTCTGGAATTAAAGGCATGCGCCACCACCGCCCGGCCTAACTTCTTTTAATTCATAGAGAAGAAGTGCTGTTTCAATTCAAAAGCTCATTTCAGTTAAGACATGGCTTCTCATAGTGGAGGGGGTGGGGAGGGATGGAGAGGGGGACTGGAAGGAGAGGAGGGAGGGAGGAGAAACTGACGGGCTGGGAAAAACAATTAATTAATTAATTTTTAAAAATCAGGGGAAAAAAAAGAGATGGCTTCTTGTTGTCTCTGAAGTGATCACATTATCTGCAGCAGGTTTTTAACCAACACTTAAAAAATACTGTTTGCCAGCATGCTAGATGCCTTGGATGCCTTGGAGCATCAAAGAGTGCATGTATTGAGGACTTAATCTTGTTCAACTTTAAAGAGCATCCAGGAAGAAAGCTGAGCCTTCTTCGGGCCAAATTCTTGGGACAGAAAGGTCTATTCCCGAGGATATTAAATGATCACACTGTCGCTGTGGGACAGGAAAGCTGGTGAGACAGTGTATGCTTGAGGACCAAACCGGAGCCACTGGATTCCTGTGTGAAGCTTGTCTCCCAGTCCTGGGGTGGGGGTGGGGATTCCCTTCCCTTCCGTCTTGTGTAGTATTCCCAGACTTTGGGGAATATATCATTTTTCTATGTGTGCCATGTCATTAAAAAGCCTTGGAAGTACTGCTGCAATTAGGTTTATGGGAAAATCTGAAAGTCCAGAAGAATTCCTTGGCAGTTAGCGAACTCTTCCCAATGGATGTAAAAGCATGGGTTATGTATTTATCTTTGTGGTCCTAATGAAAGTATCTTTTTCTGTAGGCAACAGGAAGAAAATGTCTTAAGGAGGCAGTGACACACTGCGTCAAGCAAAGCTGATAAACCTGGTAAGATTAGGACTGACACATGAGCCTGGGTTTAGTTCCAAGGAGACAAGAATGCATCTTGGCAAGCTGTTCCGGGCTGTGGTGGTTGGAAGGCATTGTGAAACACACAAAAGAGGGACCAGGAGGAGAAGAGTGAGAGGAAACTGCTACTGACTATGTCTGCATGCTTGTCTGTGGACCATGTTCATGCCTGTATGCAACGCCAATTGAAGGTGGGAAGAGGGAGTCAAATCCCTTAGGACTAGAGCAGAGGCCCCACAAGAGTATCCCGAGGGGAGGCTGCCTCTCTCATGTCTCAACTTCAACACAGCTGCCCCCTGTCCCCCCAGTAAACCTCTTGCACTAAGTCTGTGCACGTGGAGTGATGCTTAGTGGCATACCTTGGCAGGGCCTGCCGAAAGGTACCCACTTTGCCTTCCTTTATATTTATCATCACACACAATACTTTAATCCCAGCACTTGGGATGCAGAGGCAGGTAGCTCTCTGTAAGGTCAAGGCTAGCCTGGTCTATATAGGGAGCTCCAGGCTAGCTGAGGCTACATAATGAGATCCATTTAAATTAAAGAAAGAAAGGAGAAAAGAAAGAAAGAACTATAATAATATTTTCTTCTCTAAGTGTAGAGAAGCTGTAAGCTCGTGGTCTTGGGCAGGACTTATGAAGCCTTCCTGTGAGGTTTAAATGAAAGCTCCAATATGACCTGATGACAGTGATTCTCCCACATGAATACGCATCACAGTCACCAGCAAGCTTACTTTCACAGATCACTGGGCCTCACTCTTACACTTCTGGTTGCAGGGAGGCTTAGGAGTTTGCATCTCAACAAGGGACACTCTGTTGCTACTCCACCTTTTGGAAATGACTACATAATGAATGGATTTCCTTTTATAAAAACAGAACTGAGAGGGGTAGAAAGAGTCTAAGAGCCAGAGGGGTGTGTGTAGGGGGTTGGGGTGGGGCTGACGGGTGGCCCAGGCCAGAACAGTGTCTCTTGAACTTGCAAGACTCTTGAACTCAGAGCAGTGCAAGATCAAGCCAGTTAACATTCCAGCCTGGAGATAGGAGGGGGCTCCTGAGCTCCTACTCCTAACTGAAAAGCTATTGCCAGTTGACGTCTTCTAGGGGAGAGTCAGTTTTCTTTAAAGGAATGGCCACTGCATGGTCAATTATGCTACAGCGGATGGCGCCATCGGTGCGTGGGCGGCGTGAACTGCAGTCTGTGGACTCTTAAAAAAAAAGAGATCACCAAGTTGGGAGGATATAGATTGTATGTATGTGTGAAATTCTCAAAAAATATTAAATAAAAAAATAAACAAAATAGGTCAAACATACTAAAATTACACAAAAAGGTAAGCTTATTTTCTTAAGGCTCTCCCTGTGTGACTGACACTTTGTTTTGGTATCTTAGGAGTTCCCTAAGGAAAAACTGGTTTTTAAACTGACACAATGGCATACATTAAAGCTAGGATTATCAAGAAAAAGCAATATCAGAAATCCCCCTTCCTTCTATACAGACAAAAGGTGTTTAGCTCCTTGCAATGCAGGAGGGTCTTGTGTGGCCTTTTCCTCACTGCTGACACTTTCTCTGTGCATCAGAACCATAGAGGGGCCCATCCTGGTGGCTAGGATATAATTCCAGCTACTTGGGAGGCAGCTGTTTGGAGAATTTTGCATTCAAGGCCAGCCTGGACAAATGAATGAGACACTGTCTGGGTTAGTATTATTCCTTGTCTCATCACTGCAGGGAAATGCCCGACAAAACAACTTAAGGAAGGGACGGTTTGTTCTGTGCCACAGTTTCAGGGAGCCCAACCCAGCGTGGGGGAACATAGAATCAGGAGGTGGCCGGTCAATGTGCTCTCCACAATCAGGAAGCAGAGAGCATGCATACCGGTCCACATCTTGCTTCTCTATTTAGTCTGGGACCCCAGCACATGCAAATGGTGCTGCCCACATTCAGTGTGAGGCTTCTCACCTCAATGAACTTAAATCTAGATAATTCCCAATGGACATGTCCACAAACTTTTTTCCATAGTGATTCTAAATTCTACCAAGTTGACAGTCAAGATTAACTCTCTCAAAATAAAGAGCCGAAGATACTGTAGTTCGGTGACACAGGGTGTGTTGGAGGCCCCATTGTTAACCCCCAGATCATACAACACAACAACAAAAACAAAAAACTCCGTGAGATAAGCATGGTCACTACCTTGATTAAAAGATCTTCAAAGCCAGGTGTCTGACTTTAATCCTAGCACTCAGGAGGCAGAGGCAGTTGATTTTTGTGAGTTCAAGGCCAGCCTGATCTACATACTACACAGTGAGTTCTCATACAGCTGAAGCTATGTACAGAGACACTGTCTGAAAACAACAAACAAACAAACAAACAAACAAACAAACAAACAGCTAACCACCACTCCCCTGATGTATGTCAATTGCATGAAATAGTGTTGGGAGCAAAATGTTAAATAAATGTTTGCAATCACTTTCCAAAAACAAGTCTTGTCTGAAAATAGGCATAATAATTATTCTTAGTAATTTTTGTTTGTTTGTTTTGAGATAGGATCTTGACATGTAACCCAGGCTAGAATAAGAATTCCTAATGTTGAGATTATAGACATGCACTAAATGCCTGGCTATACTACTTGTTCTCTCTCTTGTTTTTAATATAACACTTTGGGCTGGAGAGATGTCTCCACTGTTAAGA